CCTATGGTCACTGCTCTGAAGCTAGAAAAGGATCTGAACAAGATCACATTGGAAGAACTGATCAGCTCTTTGAGGAGCCATGATTTTGAACTTGAAGAAGACGATCCTCAAAAGAAAGGTAAGTCAATTGCTTTAAAGTCTAACAAATCTGTTAAAGCGTTGCAGGTGTTAGAAGAAAGTTCTAAAGAAGAAGATGAACTGTCCCTGCTATCTAGAAGGATCAACAAACTCTGGAAGCATAAACAGAGGAAGTTCAAGAACTTCAAGAAGCCAGATCAATGTAAAGAGTCCTCTGGACACAAAAGATCTGGAAAGAAGAAGGTTGTTTGCTACGAATGCAAAGAACCTGGGCACTACAAGAATGAATGCCCAAAGCTTAAGAAGGAGAAGCCAAGAAGGAAGCCTGAGCATAAAAAGAAAGTTTTGATGGCTACATGGGATGATTCAGATGCATCTGAATCTTCATCAGAGTCAGAAGAAGAATGTGCCAACATGGCACTGATGGCCGGCATGGAAGATCAGGATGAAGGAACATCTGGATCTGAATCTGATTCTGAATCTGACTTAGAATAGGTACTTTCTGATCTCTCTAGAGAAGAACTTATTAAGGTTTTATCAGAAGTCCTAAACAACTATAACCATATTAAGCTCAAATGCAAGAAGCTTAAAGGAAATCTTGAATCTGAGAATAGTCTGTTAAAGTCAGAAGTTGCTGAGCTCAAAGAAAACAATTTAAAAATGAAAAACAATTTTGAAAAGGCTCAACAAGACTCTGAATCTGAAACTAAGTCAAAATGTAAAAATATTTTAGAAGAATATGACTATAGTTTTCAGAAGTTTCTGGCTAAAAGCATAGATAGAAGTAAGATGGCTTCAATGATCTATGGAGTTAGCAGAAATAACAGGAAAGGAATTGGATATGAATCTTCCTCTGGAAAGGATTTAAATCCAATACCTGTTGATAAACTTATCATTAAGAAGACTCCCTTATATTCTCATTTTAAGTTTGGTCATCTAAATGATATTAAACACACACGTTCTGATCAGAATGTTCCTGTGTTTAAACCGAAAGTTAGTCAGAACAAACCAGTTGTAAAAAGACAGAAGTTCAGACAAACCTTTAAGGCAACTAACCCAAAAGGACCCAAAAAGATCTGGGTACCTAAGGATAAGATAATACCTGTTGCAGATGTATTTAGCAGCAGAGTCAAGACGCCAATCATGGTACCTGGAATCTAGCTGCTCATTGTCGTACCTCGAAAAATACGATCCTCGCGATGGCCGCGGAAAATACTGTTCGAAACAGAGTCGCCACCGAACTTTATTCATTCCAAGGATGGAATAGGAAAATATCGATAAAACCTTTAAAGAGATAAGAACATGGTCGTCACAACCAATATTCTAGGTTCGGGAGTCGGTTACGCAGGGGGAAGGTATTAGCACCCTCTACGTCCGTTGTACTCAACGGGAACCTCTTGATCGATTCGAGAGTAAAGTTAACTATGCTTGTTTGTTTTCTTCTAAGGTTTCTCCTATGGGGGAATGGGTAGTTTATAGATGTGGTGCTCGCCAAGGATTGGGGCCCTTGTGCCTACGTATCTTCACTTGTAAGAAGCGGAAAATCAGAGCATTCGTAGTTCGTGGGACTACGGGAAAAGAGGGGATTGTGCTCGCCAAGATCATCGCAATCTTGTGCCTACGTATTCTCATTGATAAATGAGAAATTAGAGCAGCCATAGTTCGGCTAACTACGGTAAAAGGTTAGTAAATGAACGAGTGTTTAGGTCGCATTCTAACTGCTAAACGTTGGCTTGTCTGCTCACTAGGGGAGGCTGAAGCACTAGTTTGTTATGCGCGGAAGAAAGGAATAAACAATGTTCTTTGAGAAAGTATTTAGGTTGGAGATCGCACGAGGGCGAGGAATTTAGTGTTTATCGCATTGGATGTTTTGGTTAGAGGATATATTTGAATAGGTTTAAGGTTTCGATTGCACGGGGGTAAGAAACAGGAGTTTGGTTAGGTAATTTGATGGAGAATGACGACTACTCGATAAACGAGACGTCAGCCTCGCAATCAATTAATCGGGGCATTATTGGAATGCTAGATTCCAACGACACCTTTTTTATTCGACTAACTTCGAAATTTGTGTTTGAGAAAGTTTCAATCGCGCAGGGGCGAGGAAAGCAAGTTGGGTTGAATATTTTAAGGGAGAATGGCGACTACTTGATAAACGAGACGCCAGTCTCGCAATCGATTAATCGGGATATCATTGGAATGCCAGATCCCAATGATACCTTTTTCATTTAATTAATTATGAAAGTGTATTTGAATGGACAATAACGATATTTGTCCAAATAGTTAGGGCACGTGTTTTATAAATGAAAGGTCGAGCGAACCACAACCTAAAGCGTACGCCCTAAGAGTGGTTACTCAAGAATTCAAGGAGTGCGAGACTCCAAGAACTCAGTTCTTTCGTAATTTGATTAAGAAAATAGTTTGAATTTGACGTACGGTTTAGAAACACACTAGGGTTTAGACTCGATCACACGAAGGCGAGGAACGAGGTTAGACGGGTTGAAAATTTGGGAGGAATGACGACTACTCGATAAACGAGACGTCGGCCTCGTAATCAATTGGTCGGGATATCGTTGGAATGCTAGATCCCAACGACAATCTTTTTCATCCCATTAATTATAAAATAGTGTTTGTTGGATAGTGAATATTTATCCAAATAATTAGAGGAGGTATTTTAAGAACGAAAGTTTGAATGGCACACCATACAAGGCGTACGCCTCAATGGTAGTCCCTCTCGAATTCGAGGAATGCGCGACTTCAGGAACCCGATTATTTCGTGATTTAATTATGAAAATAAATTAGGAACATTAGCGTATTCGGACTAGGCGCGCTATGTATTTTAGAAATGCAAGATCAAAAGGAGGTTACAACCCAAAGTGTACACCTTGAGAGCAATCCTTCGAGAACTCAAGAAGTGCTAGACCTCAAGAGAATAGTTTGTTTTATAAAAAAAAAATACTCGAGGTGAGTCGAGGTTTGAATTTGAGTTTTAAATGTGGGTTAGTCTTCTAAGTGACCAACTAGAAATAATTGATCAAATAGGTGTCACTGTAAGGAAGCCCAGGATTAAGCTTTAAAATGTTGTGTATGGTGATCGAGGGTAGAAGATAATTTAACTAATCGAGAATTTATTTTAAAAAAAATTTAAAAGTTTCAAAAATAATTGAGCATTAAAAAAAATCGACGAAACGACCACAACTCAAAGCGTACGTCTCGAGAGTAGTAGTTTGGAAATTCAAGGAAGGCGAGATCCAAGAATTCAATTGTTTTTGAAATTTGTTTTTAGTTTAATTTAATTAAGAAAAAAAAATTTATTTTCATATATAAAATTAATAATCAATTATAAAAAAGGTTTTGAGAAAAGCTAATTATAATTAATTGTATTTGAGAAAAGTTTAACATCTTAAAAAAAATTTTAACTTTATTAATAAAATATAATTTTCTAAAAGTTTAATATTCAAAATATTTATTTGGTATTAATTTTGAAATATATTTTAAAAGAATAATAATTAGCAAAAATAAAAGTAATTGAAAATATTTTTATAAATTTATTTAAATTAAGCGAAAAAAACGTTTTTGGAAACGAAAGACGGAACAACCACAACTCAAGGGCGTGCGCCTCAAGAGCGGTTGTCCAAGGATCCAAGGAGTGCTAGACTCCAAGAACCCACTACTTCCATTGTTTAATTAATAGAGGGTTAAAAAATATTAACTAGAATAAATTGTGATTTTTAATTTATGTTCATAAAATATTTTTAATCTAATTGTTGTTTATGTACAAGAAATTGCATGGACTGATAATTAAACCGAGTTATTATCTATTAATAGAAATATTCCCACCATTAGTAACTCAAACCAATCCAAAAAAAATATATGAGAACAGTAGTATTAAAAGTATAGGCCTTCATGCCATTTCAAAACATTGTCAAATTAATATAAAAAACAATTGTGAAGCTTGTATAGAACCACACCATAGCAACATCCGTTCATGCTATATATCAAAAATAAAAACTTCATGATGAAACCGCAGGCACCAAATATAAAAGAAAATGAGATGACAACAACAACATATCATTCACGTTCACTATAAAAATCATTTTTGTAAAAAGAAACAGGAATAACACGAACCAGCCCATACACAACAATAATATGATCAAAACCGGAATTAAAGACATTCAAGGTAGTAACAACAACACTAATATAGCATAACATAATCTTAATATCAACACTGCAAAAACAAAAAGTCTTAAAACCAGAAGTTACCGAAACTGCTTCATTAAGGTTGTTGTTGCAATTATGATGTCTCTTGTTGAATGAAAAGTAACTCCGTCAAGTTTGCAATCACGACAGCAGCACGAGCAACAAACTAGCAGCAACACAGCCGGTGGTTGAACAACAACAATGGAAAGAAACTTCTAGCTTCAAATCATTCCGAAACAATTTCGACATCCAGCCTGATTTCAACTTATTCCGTTGAAATAGTTACAATCTCTTTCGAACCATCCCCTTCTGGTAGACCATGCCTTTGCCGTTATATCTGATTCAGTGGTTTCAAATACTTGCTGAGTGGCAGAGTCATTATGCAGCACCAACTCTCCTCCTTTGTTTTTCATTTTAAATTGTTGTTGCGAAATCGAACCGTTACAATGTCGTAATCGCGTAACAAGCCCTTTATGACAGTGGCAGCATCAATGCATCGAACCAACGCGTTATCTGCAGTATTCCATTCGGGTACGCGACCTGCAGCTAAATCTGAGCGAATCTTCTACAAGATATAAGCTACTTGTTGATGCAAATATGCTCCAGCAGATGGAATTTGAAGGTGTCACGTCAAGACCAAATCAAAGTCAATTCTTGGATCAACTCCTAACCTGCACAATAATGGGCAGCAAAGGAACAACTGTAGGCGCTGAAGCATCACGAACTCAGTCTGATCGCCACGCCATCAGTTTTCTCGTAGGCCATATTACTCTCATGACACCAAACTTTGTTTGAGCCTCTGCAAATGTTGAGCCAACGGCTTCTGACATGTAGGGTAGCTGCAACCCTTTATCAACCCTGAGGTCACAAACATCCACAACACAGGCTCCGTATCCATGTAAGGCGTTCCCATCTAAGGCCTTCCCATACCACTCACCCTCCAACTGAAATACCTTTCCTTTGCCAATCTCCTCTCCTTGCTGGCCGACAAGCATAACATATTGACCTGGACCAATAGGCGAGTCAAGGGACCCAGGTGCTTCCCCTTTCTGCTTGTCTGAGACTAGATTGTCAATATCAGCGGTTACTGGTCGAACATCCTTAGTCGTGCGAGCTAGCCTAGCTTTTCGGTTATTCAACCAATTTTTAAGCTGCGACGATGTAACCTCAGAGCCATTCGAACTTAATTTATCCGCCCATGATTGAAGTAAAGCTGCATTTCGTTGCATATCAGGTTCATCCAAGAGTGCCCTCTCTATCGTTAACACCTATTCTTCATTCATTATAGTTCACTTTCGCTTTTTTCTTTGTGTGAGCTCAACCTTTTCATTTTCTGGATTTTCTTCAACTGCACCTTTTTTATGACGCTCATTTGATTTTGAAAGCTCGCCCTTATCCATATGAACAGCAACATTCTTTCCTTTTGCAGAACTGGCATCTGAACCACTTGTTTCAATTTTATGAGCATCCTTGTCAGTATCTCTTACTCCTCCTGATGTTGTTTTACCAGATATGCCTTTATTTTCTGCATGACTTTGTCGATTTAAGCCATTGCCATGAATTTTGTCTTCAGCTTTGGTGTTATGTTGTTCCAAGTTTGGATATGAAGAATTCTCCGACATTCCTTCCTTGATTTTACCGCCCTTCTTATCAGGATCGGCATGTTGCTTACCAGTTAAAGGCAATGGGCGTCCCCCATCACTTTGAGCCTCCTGATACCACTCATTGATGTTGAGTTTAGAAAACTTATCCCAAGATGACTTCTCGAATTTGCTATCTTGAGTTTTCTGAGCACGATTTCTCCCAGATCCATTTGAAGTAAATCGTGATTTTAATTCGCCAAAAAAACACTCTTAAAAGTTGTATATCCTCCACATTTAAGAAGTTTGGAATTAGAGATTCTGCATGACTTAACAACGAGCGGAGGTTCCTGCTAGCAGTGGCAACTCTAGGAGCATCAGAATCAAAAGAAAACTCCGGCAGCAAGTTAGATAGATCCATTTGTAAGCACTCGAGGACTTTGAGCACAAAAAGGTTCCTTTCTTGCTCTTCACAAACATTGGGAACAAAACAATGAAGATTTGCAAAGAACTTGATAAATAATGATGTCCTATGATGTGCATAAGAAGCTTTAAGCATGCTGTTTGGGGTTAGGTTGAATTCCAAATCAGTGGCTTCCTGTACATCCGGTGAAGTATTATGCAAAACCCATTCAACTGCAGCAAATATATCATATTCAAGACTTGCGTCCTCCTCAGTGTCTGAAAGGTTTGATGAGCACCAACAGGATAAAAAATCTCCATGGGGGAGTGAAATTATTGCTGTCAGAACTTCAGTAAAACAAAGTATCATGTAAGATCGAAAATTTGAATCATCAGAGAAAATGTCAGCTAGACGCATTGCATTGAGTTGTACAAATCCCATTGGGTGACTTCTGTCAGCGGTGAGTTTTGTTGTTATCGTATTTGCTGCAAAACCAATTCTAAGTCACGAAACGAAAACGTTACTTCCTTGCGGCACTGGGTCACTTGTTGAGCAATCCAAAAAATTTGTTGTTAAACTCAAAACAGAGAAGTGGTGAGGTAAATTGGAGGAGGGGATTTTGTGGGTTTGGCCATGGAAAGACGTGGATCGCGGCGGCGAAATTTTTGAGGGAAAGGGTTGAATGATGACGAAGGGTTAGGAGGGTTTTGTGTGAGCGGCGGTGGAAAATGAGGAAACAGAAGGTGGTGGCGGCGAGAAGAAGAAGACGAAGGGGTTTTTTGTTGCACGGTGACGAAAGTGTGGTGAGAAGGAAATCGTTAGAGTGATGAGAAGAAGGAGGAAGGGTTTAATGGAGAAGATGATGATGAAGACGAAGGGTTGAACGGTGGTGGCCGGATCTTGAGGAAGGAGAAGAGGAAAAATGGAGGGGGTTGGTCGGCGCCGATTTGGGAGAGGGATGATTTAGGGTTTTTTGGGGTTGAATTGGGGATAGTTTTTCTTAGGGCTGCCCTTCAGAATTAGGGGCGGCCGTTATCTCTAGGGTAGTGTGAACAGTGTTGCCCTTAACTCTTAGGGTCTGTGAACAGTAATTCCTATTTATACTACTTCTCAACCCTAATCCAATTGACCGTGTCCTTAAACAAATTAATTTCATCTTTTTTCTTTTAATTATTTTTCTGAATAATAAACTAAATTAAAAACCTATTTCCTATTTAATTAATTCTAACTATTAATTATAATTTTAAGTCTAAGCTAATTAATTAAAATCTAATCTAATAATTTAAAATAAATCCTAATTAAATTCTAACTCTATTTTTTTCTATATTTTTTTTAAAATTAAAAATTTCTAAATTATAATTAAGCTCTAAATTAAATCTATTTAATTAAAACAATTAAATTTAAATCCTAATTTCTAATTCAAAACTAATTAAAATAATAAAAAAGACAATATATTAACCTATCACGAGAAAAATGAAATTATATATAAAAAAAAACAGGTATATATATAAAAACAAATGCCACGTGGCATACCCTTATTGGGCTAAAAAAGCGAAAATGCCCGTTTTTGCTGAAAAATACGCTACGCTGTATAAGCGAGGTAAATTAAAAACAAAGTCGGGCAAATGAGAATTTTGAAAAAAGGTAGGACAAATTTGGGGTATGACAGATGCCCCTATCTAATTGCCTTGAACCTGAGAGAATGAACAGCTGCATGACGTTCATTTTCAGGGTGGAAGTCAATTAGATACAAAAAAGACCCCGAAATTTGTCCGACAAGCAAGTAAAAATGCAAAGAGATAGGATATACCTGAACGGGATGACAAGATGCAAAATAGATGAACGAGATAACCTGATATTCCCTGGGTGGTCGAAGCAGTCCCTTATCCAATAAGGTTCTTCGCGGTACCAGAGTGGTATAAATGATCCTCTTTGGGTGGTCAAAGCAGTCCCTCCTTCGTTAAGGTCCTTCGATGATACCAAAGCGGTACAAACGATCCTCCTTGGGTGGTCGAAGCAGCCCCTCATTCGTTAAGGTCCTTCGATGATACCAAAGCAATATCTCGAACAAAACTTGAGATTCTTCGGGTGGTCGAAGCAGTACCTTTTCCAATAAGGCTCTTCGATGATACCAAAGCAGTATCTCGAACTAAAACTTGAGATTCTCCGGGTGGTCGAAGCAGCATCTTATCCAATAAGATTCTTCGATGATACCAAAGCAGTATCTCTGATCAAAACTTGAGATTCTTCGGGTGGTCGAAGCAGTCCCTTATCCCATAAGGTTCTTCGATGATACCAAAGCAGTATCTCTGATCAAAACTTGAGATTCTTCGGGTGGTCGAAGCAGCATCTTATCCAATAAGATTCTTCGATGATACCAAAGCAGTATCTCTGATCAAAACTTGAGATTCTTCGGGTGGTCGAAGCAGTCCCTTATCCCATAAGGTTCTTCGATGATACCAAAGCAGTATCTCGAACAAAACTTGAGATTCTTCGGGTGGTCAAAGCAGTACCTTTTCCATTAAGGCTCTTCGATGATACCAAAGCAGTATCTCGAACAAAGCTTGAGATTCTTCGGGTGGTCGAAGCAGTACCTTTTCCAATAAGGCTCTTCGATGATACCAAAGCAATATCTTGAACCAAAACTTGAGATTCTTCGGGTGGTCGAAGCAGCATCTTATCCAATAAGATTCTTCGATGATACCAAAGCAGTATCTCTGATCAAAACTTGAGATTCTTCGGGTGGTCGAAGCAGTCCCTTATCCCATAAGGTTCTTCGATGATACCAAAGCCGTATCTCTGATCAAAACTTGAGATTCTTCGGGTGGTCGAAGCAGTCCCTTATCCCATAAGGTTCTTCGATGATACCAAAGAAGTATCTCGAACAAAACTTGAGATTCTTCGGGTGGTCGAAGCAGCATCCTATCCAATAAGATTCTTCGATGATACCAAAGCAGTATCTCGAACAAAACTTGAGATTCTTCGGGTGGTCGAAGCAGCACCTTATCCATTAAGGCTCTTCGATGATACCAAAGCAGTATCTCGAACAAAACTTGAGATTCTTCGGGTGGTCGAAGCAGCACCTTATCCATTAAGGCTCTTCGATGATACCAAAGCAGTATCTCGAGTGATAATTTTGCTGAGGAATAGTTGAGCTAAAATTCCTATTTAAAGGAACAACGTTGTCCAAACTCTGCAGGGGAGAAATCTTCAACAAACTCTCTAAGATAATCTCTGCTTGGGGAGCCACCAGAGCAATAATTGCTGGGGATTATCATCATCAACTGCATGGTTGAAGAATGACATTGCTGGGGCGTAGAATTCCCTGAACTCGTGGGGTATTAAATCTTTTCAGAGTCATACTGCCAACTTCAATGGAGGACTGACCAAGATGCTTGCAAACTGATCCTGGATCCTGCTATGTAATGCAATGTTTTATGATGCCCAAACATGCAACTAAGATGTAACTGTTAGGGAGTTCACGATGCGAATGCAAATGATATGTTAATGCTTGATATGATTATGTATGTCGTGCTCATGATAATGCAGCGACCAGGTATGCTGGGGATAAATCCTTTCGGGGACGTCACCATGGATTGGATTCGGTAGTTGCCAAATGGTTTGGACTTTGGTCATTGAGGATGCCAACAAGGGTGGACTTTTAGTGGTTGCCAAATGGATTGGACTTTAGAATGATTTGCTAGACGAGAACTGTATTTTGAAGGTTTTGTTTCGGTTACAAAGCTCTGATAGGTGTCAGGTCCAGGCCGTGGGGGTGAAACCCAATGACAGAGAGGCTTTTTCAGGAGGTTAAGCTTATTTGGTGGGGTGATGGCATGATTCCCCGACACTCAACTTTTGCTGACGAGAATAAACTTGCTTGAGTAACTGCCCCAATGTTGTTCAACTTTCCCTAGTTTGGGTCTATGAAGGAATTTTCCTTGAACGGAAATTGGAAGCAATCATGCCATGAGACGAAACTTGAAATGGCTTGCCCCAGCATTCCAAGTCGTGAAAGGAAGTTGGAAACAGTTGTACCATGAGATGAACTCGAGACGGCTTGCCCCAGTATTCCACATCCTTGATTAACTGACCCTTGGGGTAATTGGCTTCAAATTATTCTTGAGGTAGTCTTCTTCAGAATGAGCGTTGAAGCGACATGACTTGTGTTGATTGAGCGTCGGAGGGACTCTCCCCTAATCAAACGAAACTCTGGGTAACCTGCCCCTTGTTGGATTCTTTGCAG